ATGTACGCTTGTACCATGCATCATTACTGCAATATTACGCATTGTATTAGGAACCCTGTATACAGTGCGTGTGTGTTTATAAAGCTTAAAAGTTATTCTCGCTGCATTTCCAAGCAGAGGAATCTATTTTCTTTGCAGTTCCAAGCAGACACTTGTCTGTGTGGTAGAACACCAGCTTACTTCATGAACAGCCTGGGTTGAATCCTCTCTCAGTGGCCGAAATGTTCAATTATTTTATTTGCATAGTTCTCGATTTTTCAATCACACGCAAGATTATAAGTTTTTGCTCACAATCAATGACACCGATGTCCTAACTTCTGCAAAGCAAGCTCTTAAATGTTATCTATCGCATTAATAATGTGAAAGTCTGGTTACGCATGTTGTTAAACCCTTTTCTTCAGACACATTGAGGAAAGGGTTCATGGCACATACCTGCACACTGTAGGCCACAGGTGATTGACAGTTTAAATCTACACGAGAGGAGCAAAAAAAAGAATTGGTAATTCAAGTGTGAGAGCGTTGAGAAAAACTGACGCCTGCAGTGTTGATCCGACGAATGCAAAGAAAAATATCAAGGTCCGAGCAGGAATTGAACGCAAGCATTCTGGGTGGAAATCAAGTATTCTATTTTACAGTTATGCCAAGTCTCAAAACTGCTTTGAAAAAAAAAATTACATCTTCCTGAAGGGGACCATGGGGTGATGCAGAGCATCGCGGGTAGTTTCAGTGGTGTTTTTAGCAGTGGTGTTTACCAGTTTGCGGTGAATAATGCATGGTATTGCATTGTAAACTTGGTTTTTTACCACTTATCACGTGAACATTGTGTTGAAAGCTCCCGCGATGCTCTGCATAACCCCATGGTTCGCTTCGGGGAGATGGTGTAATTTTTTGGTTAACGTGCACGCTGTGAATTTTTATTGTTCAGCAAGGCACAGGAGAAATTTCCCACAGGCAATACTTTGGAGGTCAAGCTATGGTGCCTATATATACGAGGTGGCCAGTGAACGGTTGTGCAGCCCGAGCAGTCTGTTTTTTCAATCGGGAAGCTTCCTAGCAGACGCTGCCTGCGTCGGCTTTGCGAGATGCCGCGGAGATGAATGCCTAGAGGAGAAGGGTTAGTGAGTGAACGTTAGAAGATGCTTCATGCATCGGCGTTGCAAGGCAGGAGAGGAGCAGCGTAGGAGAGAAGAGATAAGAGAGGGAGGCGCATAGTATCCAGTGATGGAAGGGTTGCTCCAATTGCTCCAAACTGCTCCACAAGAAAAGTGCTGCTACAATGTGCTCCAAGTGTAATTTTAAAGACGATAGTCTTTCTTGGTGACCTTGGACGGAAAAATTTTAGTCTGTCTGTTTATCCATCTTAACGATACCTCAAGTGGCATCGAATGGCCAACCCCATCCGCAGCGTTCATAGTTGTGCGATTGTCAATTAAAAAAGCAAATATTGCACATATCTGAGGCGCCATAACATGTCTATGTTTTGTATGTCTGCCTTTATACTAGAAGAGGACACACACAAAGCACTCTAAGGACTGTAACGTTTAACGCGCTGCGCTGACAGTATAACGATGCTCAAGAAGGTGTTTCCAACGCTTTTTTACGGCGGCACGGTGGTGGCACCTGCCCGTCGGTTTCTATTCTACACCTTATAACCTCCGTGACTGGCGCGCATCTTTCTGCACGGTCGTGCATGCCTTGGTTTTCAAAGATAACTGCCAGATGGCGCTCGTGTTTAACGTGCCTAGATTCGCTTGTTTGCCTCCGTTACACGCTCGAGGCACTCTAACGCAGCGCCTTCAGAATACCATGCACCGATTTTCTTGCGCAGAACATCAAATAAACGTTTTGTTCACTCTCTTCAGACGCAAGACTGTCTTCCGACGACATTTACAGTGTAACATGTAGATTCGAGCCAATTTTTGGTTAATTGCTCCAAACCTGCTCTGAAAAGACACCGAGAGAATGAAAATGACCAACATTTAACGGTTTGAATGACTCATAAGTCGTAGAGAAACTAAAAAGAATCTGTGTATGATCATCCCAGTGTGCCACTGGGGTGCAGCATTATCAGCTCTTATTTTTGTGACAAGAAATGGCACATTAAGTGTATAGAATACTTGGCATTTTTGTTTGTTTTGGTGAATTGAGAAAATGAGCAAAATTGCTTTTATCTCATGCCGATTATCTACTGCTTATTTGGCAACAGTTTTATGGGACTGTGGTTAATTCTAAATTGTAGTGCTCAGCTTTACCGGTATGATTTTATTTCTACCAGAAATACTTGTATATTATAAACAAAGTTCGTTTCACAGCACATTCTTGACAACAAGCCAGTTTTTTAATTAATTGCTACTTGAAATTTACATTGATAATTGTCTGTTAGGTATATTTCAGAATAAATAATACTATTTATGTGATGCTTTAACAGTATTTTGAACTCCAATTAATGTATAGCAAATTTTGTATCTCCTCCTAAACCACCAACACCTGCTCAAAACTAGCATTTTTTCACTCTTAAAACACTTCTAGCTGCTCCAACGCAGTACTTTTCCTGCTCCAAAGTATGCTCTAAATAGTAAAAAGTCACTTCCATCATTGGCATGTGCAATGGGGGTGGGGGAGAGCGCAAGCAGGTGACAGGAGAGAAGTTGGGAGAGTACCACGCAGCTGTTGGAAAGACCGAAGGAGAAGAGTTGGGCATGCTTAGTGTGAGTGTGGATATCGGTTGACGCGTGATATACGTGCAAGAAAGAGATCCTCCTACTCTAAAAGAGCCTATACAGATGTATTGCTGGTGGAATGTCAATTGTGGCTGCAGTGCTTTATATGAAATTTTGTAAACAATAAACATTGTTACGGGAAGGCATATGTACTCCTATGATATCGACGCCATGTCATTTTAACATCAATTGTATGCTCATTCATCATCCACTGCATCCATGGAAGCTGGTCTAAGTAGGACTAGTCAGGGCTACTGTCCTCGTAAGCATGAGCGCTACATATCAGCTTACTGCTTCTGCTGCTAATATCCACGTTTCTTGATGCCCCATTATGAACTGTAAACAAATGATTATATATGTGTCTGTAACATTTCATGCAATAAAAAAAATGACACCACAGTCACATTCTTTCCACATGCTGTGCATAGCGTCAATTCTCAAGGTACGTGGGAACCAGGAAATTTTTTTTCTCATCCCGTTTTTTTTTTTTTGTGTGTGTGACAGCGGTTACAGACACTGATAGTGGTGGCGGGCAACTATGGTGCCAAAAATAGCCGTTGTTATGCTTTCATAACAGCCTTTGATGTAAAAAAAAAAAATCAGTGTACCTAAAGATTTTTGCAATGTGATGTTACAGCTGTTTGGTCTTGTGCATTGGGTTTAATATTGCTTGCATTTGGAAGTGTAGGCTAACACCTCCCGCGCTCGTCAGCTGGTATACATACACACACACATATATATATATATATATATATATATATATATATATATATATATATATATATATATATATATATATATGCTCATGGCTGGTTATTTTTTCATCCACTTTTCTTTCTTCTTTCTTCTTATTTACATTCCATTGGGGTTCTAATAACTTACCCAGTACATTCCTTGGCATTACTGTCTGTTAGATCTCATTAATATTGTGTTAAAACACGGAAAAACGAGCCCTTAGGTATACAATTCTTTCCCTTATTTCATTGAACGAGGGTCTCGTACTGGCAGACTTGGTGTGTTTAGGTTGTATAAGAGGGACAATTAATCAGCTGCCCGCTCATAAGTTCACGTGCTACGTGACGCCAAACATACGAATAAGAGTGTTTTCACACTCGTTCTTTGGCTCATAGATGGCGCTGACTGTCACTCCTACTTCTAAATTCGCATATAAACCCCAAAAAAGTGGATGGAGGGAAGGCCGCTGTGATAGCTCAGTGGTTAGAGCATCGAACGCGTTATTCGAAGGTCGTAGGTTCGTTTCCTGCTTACGGCTGGTTATTTTTTCATCCACTTTTCTTTCTTCTTTCTTCTTATTTACATTCCATTGGTTCTAATAACTTCCCCAGTACATTCCTTGGCATTACTGTCTGTTAGATCTCATTAATATTGTGTTAAAACACGGAAAAACGAGCCGTTAGGTATACACTTCTTTCTCTTATTTCATTGAACGAGGGTCTCGTACTGGCAGACTTGGTGTGTTTAGGTTGTATAAGAGAGACAATTAATCAGCTGCCCGCTCATAAGTTCACGTGCTACGTGACGTTAAACATGCGAATAAGAGTGTTTTCACACTCGTTCTTTGGCTCATAGATGGCGCTGACTGTCACTCCTACTTCTAAATTCGCATATAAACCCAAAAAAAAGTGGATGGAGGGAAGGCCGCTGTGATAGCTCAGTGGTTAGAGCATCGAATGCGTTATTCGAAGGTCGTAGGTTCGTTTCCTGCTCACGGCTGGTTATTTTTTCATCCACTTTTCTTTCTTCTTTCTTCTTATTTACATTCCATTGGTTCTAATAACTTCCCTAGTACATTCCTTGGCATTACTGTCTGTTAGATCTCATTATTATTGTGTTAAAACACGGAAAAACGAGCCCTTAGGTATACACTTCTTTCCCTTATATATATATATATATATATATATATATATATATAATATTTTGGGGGGGGGGGTGCATTCTATATAGTAAATATACTCCAAATGAACATTTGTGCAGGTAGCGAAATAGAGCACTCTGTGACAGGAAGGATTCTCACATTCCTGTTCCATTTCACAGAATAATGCAAGAAACACACAGGCATGATGTTTCTTCGTGCAGTTTGTTTGGCTTTTCATTAAAATTTGTTATTATGGATGACTTGCTCTAGAGGCAGTATTGGTGTCTATATTTAGTGAGACGTGAATGTGCCTTTATTTCAGAGGATTTTCATGGAATTACGTGGCCCATGTTCATATCTGATTGCCCCTCTCACCTTTGGTGCAATTTCTTTTTATGTTCCAGAGGGCCTCTACAACTGCTTCTGGCAATCCGCTTCTGAAGGGTAACTCTACGCACTATTCATCTTGTGGCGTTCGAATGTGCTAAGTTGATTAGGGCATATTTAGGAGAGATTATCATTGTTCTGTCACTGAACTGTGTGGGGGTCTTTCGAACGGAGAATGCACACTGTCGGAGCGAATGAACGCAGCAGACACGGTCGCATCGAACCAAACAAACACATTTATTCAACTACATTTACAACATCGCCAACCGAATGAATACATCGCTAGTGATCAACACCCAAAAAACAGCCTTACACAATGTTACGATACACTCAATCAACACAACAAGAAACACAAGGTAGCGTGCAGGCGGCGCCGCCAACACTCGACTCACCACAAGGGCCCACAGCAGACAACCTGCGGTGCCGTCCACCTATACACCCATCGCGGGAGACAACCATTTGCACCAACTACCACGCTCTAAAGAGAACCAACCGCTCATGCATCATGTGTTGCCAGCCAGCCTCACTGACAGGTGTCACTGCTGGTGCTACTGCACCAACCATGATGATGATAACGGTCATAAACACTTGCGAGCACAATGCCACCTACCGCTCGATGGTGTAATTGCGGCCTATGCGCGAAATACGAGTGCGCCACGAGGCGCAAATAATGTTATCGGGGGTGTTAGCACCCCACAGCTGAGAAAAAGAGCCATATTTTTCTTGCTTTGCCTCTCAAATGTTTAAATCATTGTTAGGCATGCTGATATGTGCGCACATGAAAGGAGGCAACACAAGCACTGTTTTGTAATTGTCTGTGTTATTGTGTGCCTGCATAATCTTTTTGTACAACAAACCCTTGACAACCATCTCGACTGCAAGTATCCCATAAACATTCTAAGTAGTGGCAAAGTACCTACTTTGTATCTATTAAGTAATATGCACACCTTGATGATGCTGTTGCTGATAAACTTGATTTAATTATGTCTGTGTGCTTTATAATTTGTAGGCCTTTAAACCATCCATTCATGGTAAAATGTATGAAGTACTAATGTCTGGCTTCTGCCATAAATATTACATTTGTTAATGTTGCTCTCTTCACCGTTCACCCTAAACAAAGAGATCCCGCTCTACAACCCGGGGCGAACGTTCATTTGGATAATGAAGGGTCGATGAGTGTTTTAAAATCTGGGACATGGTGCTTTCGGGTGCCAGCTCCTCTTCTTTTCTGACATCGGAAGGGGTATGGGGATTATTCAAGTAGTTAGGGGTAGAGGGAGGCTCGTCTCCTTTAAAAAAAAGTAACAGACGGCTCTTTGCATAATGTAGGCATGCATGTGCTCCTGGATATTAGAAGCTGAAACTCAGTAAAAATGTGGAAGAATTGGCTAACGAGGCATAATGCAGGAGGTGTGAACTACTGGCAATGATCAGAGAATGAGAGATAAACAACGTTACAACAAACAATGTCGCACCTGTTCTGTATGCAAGCAGAGAATAGCAAATACTTCTGGCCCTTGGTCTCATTGCCGCAATTTGGAGAATTCATTTAGAGAAAAGACCAGGACACCTTCTCTTCGCTAGCTATTTTCTATTTCTTTATTTTTTCAAATACAATAGAAGTGGATTTCAGGGCTAAAAGCTGCTGTCTGCAGCATTACAGCTCTTTGAAATACGTACGTGTGTTCACTTGTATCTCTAATGGTTAAAAATAACTGCGTATAAGGGAAAAGAAAGTAACAAAAAAAAAAAAAATAGAAGACCCTTGCTGCTGAATAACCCCTTCGGACGGCACGCCCTGAGAATAGTGGTGTGCATTGTCAAGATGTCAACACCACCTCGAAACATTTATTCCGGTTACCCCAAGCTCTTTTGCGTTCCTTTTGTACTGCAAGCTACATCTATGAAGAATGCGAAGAACCCAGCTGCTCGCAAGCCGCTTGCCCTGGAACTAAAACTCTCTAGTGCACATCAGTTCTGTGGTTCCAGAGGTCGCTGGTTGGACCCCCGATGCACAGCCCTTCCATATCTTTTTTTTTGCAATTTGTCAGTATATACTTTACAACATCATATCTGGAAATACGTCAGTGGAGCTGGGTAGATGCCGACATAGAACACCTGCGATAACCCCACTAATGAAAAGATTGTCTATTGTATGGTCTAAAACGAACCCGTTTTGCTTGTTAAATACAGGTTTTTATTTTTCAGTCTAAATTACTTTTTGTGCCTCTTGAGGAAAAAATGTCATAGTGATCACCATAAGGTGACCTTTTACTGGTGTATGCTGTCAATTTTCTATATTAGCATTCAAATGCAGTAGGCTTTTTATTATGATATTTTCTAACTTTAAATGTGTCTTAATTTGTACGGAGCGGAACAGTGGTGCCACCTTCATTTATGACATATGATATGGTGCACATGAGCAGCAACATGAACAGAAAGTTAGCTGAAGACGTAGCAGCACCTGCTGATGAATTGTAAGTATCCACGATTAGTTCCTACAGCTTGAGCTAAACTTGGAGGCCATGAGCTCCTGTCTCTCACGGTGGTAAAGAGAATCAATGTGACGACGAGCATTTAGCTGCCTTTTATATTCAAGAATAGTTTAAAATGGTAATAAGAAAATTGTTAATCATTTCCCACAGCTTGAGCTAATCTTGGAGGCCATGAGCTCCTGTCTCTCACGGTGGTAAAGAGAATCAATGTGACGACGAGCATTTAGCTGCCTTTTATATTCAAGAATAGTTTAAAATGCTAATAAGAAGATTGTTAATCATTTTCACTCACTTCTTTGAAAGCAGAACCTTAATGATGAACAGCTCGCGAGGGAGGCTATTGGCGTCACTGTTGCCTCACAGCATTGCTGGAGGACACTTTCGTGCACTTATAGAGGCTTTTTTGTAAGGCCCTTTTAAGATGAAGCAGGGAAGAATTGTCTGTCCTGCCTAACTGTCTAGTCTTTTTACAGCAGACTTTTGAATGGCAAAACTGCTTAGTATTGTGGAATTTGTTTGCATACTAGAAATGCTTAGTGCCTTCTGGGAAGGAGTCGTGTATTTTGAAGTAGGAAAGGGGGTACTGCACAAAAATTCTCATTTGTCAAGAGTATGAAGTTGGGCATGTTGGTCATGCATCTGATCACTTAGCACAAAATTTGACACAGGACTAATTTTTGTTCCTTTTCTTGTCCTGTGTCAGGTTTTCTGCTACATGATAAGTTATGCATTTTTTTCTGTCAAATAAAAGGCCAAGCCCTCAAGGGCCCCGAGAGTGTACTGCTAAGCGTGAGTGCGTCCAAAAAAAATATTTACAGCATGTTTCCGAAAGCTAGTATTGGTTCCTACTAAGCCCTGACGTCACAGCATGGTATGAGCTTCTGGTCACGCACTCGCGCAAGGTATTGTGATGTTTCCACGGCCGCTCTGCACTGCGGCTCTGTCGGTGATGCGCAGTCGGCCATTTTGAAAGTGTTGATGATGGATGAATAGCCATTTTGGAAGTTCTACAGCGAAAGCTGTAATGAGATCACAACTTGGGTCTCGCGCAGCGCCGTAGTTATCCGCGCCGCCGGTGTTTGTAACCACATCGCGCGAAATTAGCAACAAAACCTAGTACCAATGACACAGTAGAGCTCGAACCGGGGTCCACCGGGTGCCAGCCCAGTATTCTACCACTGAGCCACGCTGGTGCTTGGGACTTGTTGGCAAACTTGCCTTGGGCAGGCTTGATGTCGGAAAAGCAATTGCGTTGATACGACTTATAAAGCATTTTAAAACAGCGAAAGAACAAGCAGTCGTCGCACAATGCGAATAGATTAACGAGTGGGTCGTCCAATGCTCCAACCCACTGCAAAAGCTTGTTTTTGTTCTGCTATTAACTGTGGCAACTACCCCTTTCAGGTGTAATTTCTCATCGTCCTCCGCCACTGCATGAACGACTGGCACAAAATTCTTCGCAATAGTCTAGCGGATACCGCGCTTTTCAGAAGAATCATGAAAAATAGCATAGTGAATGCCGGCCCACTACCCTAAAATTTTTATTATTAATGCTGTAGTGGGCATAAAGCAAGAGTGCTTGCAGCAGCTACCCAATGAGTGTTCAGAAAAAGCTCTGAAAGACCGCTCTTCTAGTTTTTGCTATAAATGTGCTACGCATTCCATGCAGGCTTGTCATTTTTTGTCACCTGACATCATCACAACTAGTGAGTCTGCTGAGTGAAATCACCAGAATTAGTACTGTAGCCTGACGTCAGGCTAGCGTCGATAACGGCAGGTGTGCAATGGTTAAATGACTACAATGTGAAAATATACTATCACCGTTTGCTGAACTTCATGCCTGCTTATAGCCACCTCCGTATGGGTGAGTAAACATGCCTTAGGTAAATGGCGTCAGTACCCCTTTAATGTGGGACTTCTGGCAGAAAAATCACTTTCATTGGTGCACTAATGTGTGGTAAGTGTAGGTCATTTTGAGAGAGGAGCAAGCAGCTCATGTAACATCAGCAAAAGACTTCAGTCAGATCTATTGGTCACCACCAAATAGAATGGCTCTTTTCCCCATCTTTTTTCTTCTTGCATTGTAAGACCCTTGTTTGAGAGTGTTAAATGTTTGTGCCTAGGGTTTGTATGCAATTACTGTACGGCACAAAGTCATAGGTCTGCAGCAGCAGTCACTTTTCTATTGGAGTTCAATGCTTTCAGTGAATGTGCGGATCTCATTGCCATGCTGTTTCAGCTTTGAGACATTGCAGTGCAAGAACATAGATGTATGAATTCAAGGCTACATATATTGTTGTCGATCCCACTCTGTGCATCTTTGGAAGCTTTCTAGATCACATTCCAAATTAGTGGTGGTGGTGGTGAGTGGCTGTGATTGTTCTTGCAGATGTTTCGGGCGAGTTCCCAAGGGTGTACAACGCTCCAGATGTGGAGGCTGGCTGGTTCGACTGGTGGGAGAGTGCAGGCATTCATGCCCCTCCCAAGGAGGCAGTGAGTTCCAAAACTGCTCTATGGACTGTTAAAGTAAAATTAAGTGACACATGACTATTTTCGGCCCGTACTGATACTGTGTTGTGTTTCATAAGAATTGAGCAATTCAGTCCTTTGCAGCTTTATCTGTGTAAAAAGGAAAGCTTTCTCAAAAGCTAGGCTTTCCTCGTGAGGAACCTGCCTATTTTAAATGTCAGTGAGGCATAGAAAAATGCTGCTGTACATGGTTCTGATATTCGCCCATGTTTTTCTGCTGCGATAGAGTTATAGCTACAGTAAGAGCTTGTTGATTTGGGCCTCATTATTATGGAAAATTGAATAATTCATATGTATTCCAGCATGTGCACTTTTTAATTGCAGGAAGCTCTTTCTTATTCTTCCGTATGTGGCTGCAAGCCGGTTAGTTTGGATGATCCTATGAGGGGCTGAATGTGAAGCTCTGTAGTAAATGTGCAATGCAAAAGAGCAAGAACAATCTCTGTGGTCAACCAAAACGAGGTGGTGGAGTTCCCATCATGATCACCACCAGCATGAACTTGTGCAATAACGACAGAAAAAACAGAATTATTTGTGCTTATTTGTGTTGCTACCATGTGAGTCACCGCACTTGCTACGGGTCTTAAAAATGCGAGGTTGTTCACGACCAGGTCATTAGCAGCTGTGGTAAACTTCTTATTTTAATTTGGCGCATGTGAAGCAGTGTTGTACACGTTCCTCTGAAACACAAAGGAAAGCTCGTTTTTTGTTGCTTCCAGATTTTTAAATAATTTCCTATTACAAGTTCTCCTAATACAAAAGAAATGCATTCCTATAACACCCACAAGTTAGAACCTGCCATTACGTTCCCCGCAGGGGCGCCTGCGCAAATAGGCGTTTGGTGTGTAGCGACACCACGGACCCGAGCTAACGGGCGAGTTTTGACTCCCTCCCACGCCTAGCCGTGCGTGGCTTTGCCGTGTCCGGGGAAAAGGGGATCCTGGGGGTTGAGCCGACGCTAGGTGATTAGACCTTTAAGGCCCCCCGGCAGAGGCAACACACCCCTTTGGCCCCGGCTTCACGTAGACGGCACCTCTGGGCTGACCCACCCAGGGGAAATCGGCAGTCGCCTTTTCCTATCTCTCTCTCCCTATATCTTCGTCTTTTGTTCTCACTTTACATCTTTCCTGTCTTCTCCTCACTTCATTTTACTTCCCATTTTTCCTGGCGGCAAGGGTTAACCTTGTGTGGCTATCCAAACTAGGGTAAACCATATTGGGTTATAGTAACTGCGTACTGCTGGCGTTGCGCAGACATGCCCACATGCTCTGCCACGTCCCCTTGTTGGACTCCGTGGTGGGTGGTAGGCGCCGTTACCGAAAAATACACATTTTCCCATGGGATCCTCGACCCCCTCTCTAAATGATCGTGCCTCGAAAAGGGAACGCACCGACGTAACTTCACTACTTTAGTCGAAAAACAGAAAAACTTTCCCAAAATACCATGTCCTCCACTGCGCACAATCTACAAAAGCTAGAGCAATCTCACCCTTTCTTGTGGCCAAGTGCTTGAGAGAGACCATTGGAACCGGTTATAAGGCCACGAAGATGGCAAGTGGAGATCTGCTTCTCGAATTAAAAGACAAGGAACAGTACAATAAACTCTTGCACCTCGTAGCCTTTGGTAACATCCCCGTCTCTGTGAGTGCACACCGTACAATGAATACAGTGAAGGGCGTGGTATCGGACGAAGATTTGATGACACTGAGTGAGGAAGAGCTTCTTGATGGATGGAAGGACCAAGGTGTAATACATGTCCAGCGCATCATAATCAGACGCAACAACAACGAAATAGCCACAAAGCACTTAATACTCACCTTCAACTCAACCACTTTACCTGAGACTCTCGAAACTGGCTATATAAAACTCCATGTCCGACCCTTCATTCCTAACCCGAGGCGTTGTTTCAAATGCCAGCGATTTGGTCATGCATCCCAGAGCTGCCGAGGGCAGCTGATCTGTGCTAAGTGTGGCACAACCGGCCACAGTGCTGATAAATGTAGTCATGATGAGGTCCTCTGTGCTAACTGCGAAGGTAGTCACCCCGCATACTCCAGAGCGTGCCCAGCCTGGAAAAAAGAAAAAGAAATAATAACTATAAAAGTAAAGGAAAATATCACATTCAGGGAAGCAAGACAACGGGTCTCACTAACATTGGCACTGAAAACACCTTTCGCCGAAGTGGTGCAACGAGGGGCGGCACCACAAAGGCCCTTGGCATTTGCCCGGACCTCGCCTAGCGTGCCGAGGCCAATGCCACAAGCCCCTACGGCGGGAGCAGCTAGCGCTGCCCTGCCCAAATTCAGCCTGTCCACACCAGCGACATCGACAAGCTCTGGCGGCAGCCAGGGCAATCGCGAGGCCAAGGGGGCTCCATCGACCCCCAGCTCGGTAGGGACAAAGACTTCGTCGACCGAGGCGAAGTCTAAGCGACGCACAGATCGCTCTTTAGAGCGGGTGTCCAGTGCCTCGCAAGAGGCTATGGACACTAGTTCAAGCCAAACGGCGCAGGAAGCGCCGAAGGAGCGGCGAGCTTCGCTCGACCGCCCCAAAAAGGACAGAACGCCGATTACAGGGCCTGACAAAGGCCCTGTAAAATGAGTTAATCCCCGTCTTCTTTGCACACAGCACTTTTCCCTTCTTTTTTTCACTATGGACAACATCATACAGTGGAACGTAAGGGGAATACTTAGAAATTTAGATGACGTCCAAGAACTTCTGTGTAAGTTTAATGCGAAAGTGCTATGTGTGCAAGAAACGCACTTAACTCCTAAGCACAAGGACTTCCTACGACAATATTATTTTCCGAAAAGACCGGGAGGATCCTGTCGTACCATCTGGCGGTGTAGCCATTATAGTCGATCGTAGTATAGCATGCCAGCATTTGAAGCTCCAAACGGCCCTGGAGGCAGTGGCCATTCGAGCTGTACTTTTTAACAAACTCATTACCATATGTTCTGTGTACATACCACCGCATCAACAGCTACACAGACGTGATCTGGAATCATTAATAGATGAACTCCCAGAGCCATTTCTGGTTCTAGGTGATTTTAATGCACACAATGTCCTGTGGGGCGATGCTCACTGTGATGCTCGAGGACGTCTCATTGAGCAGCTCCTTTTCTCTTCTAGGTTATGTCTTTTAAATATGAAGGAGCCTACGTATTTTAGCCTTGCAAACAACACATACTCCTCCATAGATACTCCTCCATAGCATTTCATCACCGTCCCTTTTACCTGTTTTTAAGTGGAACGTTTTTAAAAACCCTTATGGGAGTGATCACTTCCCAATCATCCTGAGTGCGCCGAACAAAGATCAACTACCCCCGCAGGTTCCTCGATGGAAGATTGACTCAGCTGATTGGAAAAGGTATAGAATTCTTACACACATGACATGGACTGAGCTGTCTGCCCTGACCATAGATGACGCTGTCACGTATTTTACAGCTTTTATACTTGATGCTGCATCTAAATGTATTGCCAAAACAAGTGGCATGTGTTCTAAAACGGCGAGTCCCATGGTGGAACGACACATGCAGGAAAGCACGGACCACTCAGAACAAAGCATGGGCGTTGCTTCGCGATTCCCCTACAGCAGAAAACCTGGAAAATTTCAAGCGGGTCAAATCGCAGGCAAGGAGAACGCGCCGACAAGCTAGACGAGAGAGCTGGACAAAGTTTATATCGAGTATCAACTCGTACACAGACGAGGAAAAGTGTGGAATAAGATAAAGAAAATTAAGGGCCAAGAAACGTATTCTCTTCCACTAGTTAATAGCCTCGGGGAAAGCTTGGAGGATCAAGCCAACTTTCTTGGCACACATTTCGAACACATATCGAGCTCCTCACACTACTCCGAATCCTTCCAGAATTACAAGGCACGAATAGAAAAACAAAAGTTAGAAAGAAAATCTCCAAGAAATGAGGCATATAATGCACCATTCTGCTTAGCAGAACTGCGAACAGCACTCAGCTCCTGTAATACATCTACCCCAGGTTCTGACAACGTAATGTACGCGATGCTGAAGGAACTACCCCTCGAAACTAAAGAAACCCTCCTCTCTCTTTATAATCGCATATGGTTTTCGGGTGTGATCCCCTCCGCCTGGAAGGAGGCTGTTATAATTCCAATTTTGAAGCAGGGAAAAGATCCCTCTATTGTATCAAGTTACAGACCTATAGCGTTAACAAGCTGCCTCTGCAAGCTATTTGAAAAAATGATTAATTGCCGCTTACTCCACTACTTAGAAACAAATAAATTGCTCGACCCATACCAATGTGGGTTTCGAGAGGGTAGATCCACCACCGACCATCTGGTGCGTATCGAGGCACAGATCCGAGACGCTTTCGCCCACAAACAATACTTCCTCTCTGTGTTTCTCGATATCGAGAAGGCCTACGACACAACATGGCGTTTCGGCATATTAAGAGACTTGTCTCACCTGGGTGTGCGCGGTAGAATGCTTTCCATAATCGAGAGTTACTTGTCCAATCGGAAATTCCGTGTCCGTGTGGGCAGTATTCTCTCCCAAACATTTGTCCAGGAAACAGGCGTGCCACAAGGTGGTGTGCTTAGTTGCACACTTTTTATTATTAAAATGAATTCTTTGCACTTGTCCATTCCCCGCAATATGTTCTATTGTACATATGTCGACGACGTTCAGCTTGGCTTCAAGTCATGCAACTTGGCCATGTGTGAGCGGCAGGTTCAGCTGGGTTTAAATAAGATCTCCAAATGGGCAGATGAAAACGGATTTCGACTTAACCCACAAAAAAGCACGTGTGTCTTGTTCTCTCGAAAGAGAGGCATGCACTCGAAACCTGACATTCAACTGAACGGGCAACAACTGTCCGTCAAAGCCGAGCATAAATTCTTAGGCTTAATCTTGGACAACAAGTTGACCTTCGTACCCCACATAAAGTATTTAAAAACAAAATGTTTAAAAGCTATGAATGTTATAAAAG